CACACACACACACACACACAAACACACACGCACAAACCCCCCAAAACACACTATTTCTCAGTAACAGATGTCTGCATTTAAGCTGATAAACACACTGCCTCAATGCACCTCCAACCCCCCCCCACCCTTGCTGCCACCCACTGCTCATTATGTCAAACTTTCATTCATTTCTTCCTTCCCTCCCCCACCCTCGCTTATTGTCCCACCCCTCCTTCATTTATCCAATTTCTCTCTCATTCACACCCATTTACTACGTCTGTAAATCCAATCTGCATTCATCATTACTGTCGACACAGAGTGACGTACAAAAAAAATAAGGGGCCTTTTTTTTGTCGGCTGCCAACGCCGCCTGTCCTGCATCGCCCCTGATGCACATTCATATGCATGCATATGTAAATGACTCAATGCCCGATACATTCATTGACAGAGTACATTTGCTCTGAGACACGATAATTGCTATCATCATCATCATCATCATCCCCGCACCCAACTGGCGTCACCACACAGGCTACACATGGAGGCCCTGCTTCATCTACCGATTGTCAGGTACATAAAATAACATGTTCGCTGTGACCTAGTGAAACAAAATCTGGAAAGAAGAAGACGGTAATAATGTTTTACTTCACGTCTGTTTTCTACAAATGAAGAAATATGTCAATCCAGTCGTCAAACGAGAGCTTGGGAGGCACTTAAGCTCATAAAGCCAGCAGGATTTTCATAAAGGCTCTGTCTCTGAATTATGTCTTTTGTGGGATTTTGAATGGGTATGGAACATTGAATCTAAAATGGTTGGCAGTTCTGACTATCTGCTCTGAAGGCTGCTGGGTGTTCTTCCAGTGGGCACTTAGAAAATGTATGAAAATGATCTGCATCGTTGACTTGGCTTTGTCTCCTACAATCTAAGTTACTGGTTCTGTGCCACTTCTGCAGAGGAGATCATTTTTAACCTGAAGTTTTTATCCATTAATCTGTCTCCACTGTGTAAAGATGGAGTAGGTCTACAAAGCTAACAGGTAAAACCAACCTGCAACTCTTTATAAGTCCACATGTATCTAAAGCAGAATGTTTGCTCAGACATGAGGGGCACAAATTACAACATTCTGGCACAGCAACTTCCCATCTCATATCCTGTGTAAAAAGCCTGGGCTATATTTAGCATATGCATTTATTTCCGACTATTGATAAAACCCCTCTGTCTGCTCCGTCTGAGTCCTTATGGCTGAGTAAATGTCAGGCTTAGTCAGATGTTCCACTCACAGAGGGATCTTTCCTCTCGCATATAGGCAGCTTAAACACAGAAGGCCTCACGGCACAGATTTCACTCTCTCTCTCTCTCTCTCACACACACACACACACGCACGCACGCACACACACACACACACACACGCGCACACACACACACACGGCAGATAGTGAATAAAGAAACCTGAGAGGATCTCATAATGAACCCGACAACTTCCATCCATCCATCCATGCATCCGTCCATGTCTTTGTATGTGTACCCTCCACGGAAACGCACAAACACAAAAGCAAACACGCACACACGCACACACACACACACACAGTCATTAAACCCAGTTAGTGTTAACACCTGCCCTCCATTGCCCTGCTGCAAATGCAAACACACACCGAACACACACAGCTACTATCTCACTTTGGCACAGTTGCACTATTAAATAGTTATTTCATTTGAAATTAACAGTGAGGTCTTGTTGCAAATATTAATTCAAGTAAGTGAGGAGGAGCAATTTATTCTGTCTCTACTCAAGCAGTTATACAGATGAAGAGCTGCTACTTACGACTCTCTTCCTTACTGATCACAGGTGTGAAAGTCTGACATTTTAGGAAATGTAGTTTTATTTAGTTTATTTACTTTAGTTTATCAGTGAGCTTTAACGTTGCTGGAACCATTAGACAGAGCTAGGCTAACTGTTTCCCCTTGTTTTCAGTCTTTATGCTAAGCTACAGTATGTATGCTAGTTGCTAGACCCAGCTGCATATTTACCAAACAGACATCAGCGAGATATCAATCCTCTCATTTAACTCCCAGCAAGAATCCAATTAAACATACTAACTAAATGTCAAAGCTTTTTCTTGGATCTGGCGACGGTTTTCCCGATAGTGATTTTGTCAATTTGGCCTGAAATGTCAGGAAATAACAAAACATGCTCAGAACACGTTCACACAGCCTGTGGAAATGTCTTAATGTCTTAAAAACTAATTTCAGCTCTAACGATCTCCACCGGCAACCAGAGACATAATAAAGCTCATTCAACAGATATTTATCGGATGTTGTTGAAATCTACGTTGAGTTTTGCACGTCGCTGTGTAAAATGGCTTCTTTGAATGTGGTAGAACGGGAAGTTATGGTCTCAAACAAGAGAACAAGATGTCCAAACAGGACAGAACCAGAATGCAGCTCCCTCTTCTCTCCATCTACCAACTCCACCATTCTCTCACTTTATTTCCCTGCATTCGGCCGACTGTGCCTTTGACACTTCTCCTCCTCCTCCTCCTCCTCCTCCTCCTCTCCTCCTCCGACTTACGGACCTCTTTCACCTGAAATGAAACCCAAGGCCAGGTGCCACTCCGATATAAAACCATCTGTTCACCCCTGCCCGACTTCTTTCTTATTCCACCCCCCCTATCTCCTTTCTTTCTCTATTTCCATTGTTAGCAAAGAGAAAGAAAGAAAAAATCAGTGGAATAGCAAGGTGGAGGAGAAATAAGCAGCAAGTCTGACTCTTACTTCCCGGAGAGAAGAAATGCTA